GTGTGTGTGTGTGTGTGTGTGTGTGTGTGTGTGTGCGTGCGTGCGTGCATGCGTGCGTGCGTGTGTATGTGTGCGCGTGCGCGTGCCTGCATGTGTACGTGCGGACGTGATTTGTGTGATGTGTGGAGTGGTTGGCAGGCACATCTTGATCTCTGGCTGCCAGCCTGTCATGTTAACATCCCAGACAGACCATGTTTCCCACAATGCTGCGCTTACATGTCTTACATTCTCCATCTTCTCCCACAATTTATATTCTTTTTCTTTTTTTTATCTTCTCCCACCATTTCCGACACGAGCACCGCACCATCAACCCGCAAGGTGCCAGCAATCCCGCGGCGCCGCCAGATGTCGCGTCTGTTCATTGCCGCAAAGGTCGTCTGCTTCTCCCGCGATCGATTGCTCGTCTATAGAGCTATTCTGTCACGGTGACCTCTCCCAGACCTCTTCCAAACTTATCCCGCTATCGTCTGCTTCTCCCGCCATCTCGTCTGCTCGCCTCTACTCTCGCACACCGGGACCTCTCCCAGACCTCTTCTAAACCTCTCCCGAGGAGGAGTGTGCGCGCCGCGGGAGGAAAGGGGAGGGAGAGCACGGGAACCCCGAGAGGAATGGCGAAAAAAATGCCGAGAGAGAGGGGACGGGCCGCTGGGGGTCGTCCGTCTGCGCGTTTAGGCGCGCGGTGGCTCCGCTGCCGCGATGGAGTTTAGACTAGCGCGTACAACCCCCGCGGGGCGCGCACCGTAAACACGCGCGGGGCGAGTGCTCACACTCAGGAAAAAATCACTCTCTTCGAGGGTCGTGTTGTTGTTGTTGTTGTTTTCGTTGAAACCGTATACAGTTGCATGTTGATCGAGTCGTATAGTAACGGCTCTGGGTACGATGTCTTCGTCTTCGCTTTCTACGTCTTTTTAATTGAGTTCGCTGCGGGATCGCCCGAGTGCGGTGACTCATACATCGGTCGTTGGGTTGTTTGGTTGACTTGAGCACGATGGCTGTTAAGTTATATCGATAGTCAGTGTGGCTGCATGATCGTGTTAAACAGTTGTTGATGGTCACGTGGCTGCGTGAGTGCGCCCCTGCCGGCGTGGCTGCGTGAGTGCGCCCCCTGCCGGCGTGGCTGCGTGAGTGCGCCCCCTGCCGGCGTGGCTGCGTGAGTGCGCCCCCTGCCGGCGTGGTTGCGTGAGTGCGCCCCCTGCCGGCGACCTAGCTGCTGAGTGCTGCCTCATAGCCCTGGTGGTCATAACCACAGGTTGTGCCATGGCATGTAGGCCTATGCGTGCGCGCGTGCGTACGCGCGTGTACGCACGTGTATCTGTTTGTGTGTCTGCGTGTGCGTGTGTGTGCCTGTGTGTGTGTGTGTGTGCGTGCGTGCGTGCGTGCGTGCGTGCGTGCGTGCGTGCGTGAGTGTGTGTGCGCGCGTGCGTGCATGCATGTGTGCGTGTTTGTGCGTGCGTCTGCGATCGGTAAAAAGTCATGATAATTTGTTACAGATTCACACGTCGCTGGTGAACGGCAGACCAGGCGTGGTGGGACCAAGTGCAACCCTCACAGTAAGTCATATCACAAAATCCTACACCCTACGTGAATCAGTTAATAGCAGTCCAACTTCAGAGCATGATCAACTTCAGGCTAATCGATATCGCATGCGTTTATTATATATATATATATACTGAGGCTACTGAGCAATTTGTAGTTACCACTGTGCCCATGCAACGTCAGAATGTGTGACGTACACGCTCTCTGATTGGCTGTCGCTCTCGCAGGAGTTCACGTCTGCCAGGTACGTGCGGCTGAGGTTGCAGAGGATCCGCACGTTGCTAGGCGACCTGATGCACGTCTACGGCAGGAACGTCGTTGATACGATCGTCTCTCGCAGGGTGAGTGGGTGGACATATGTTTCCATGAACCAGACTGATAAAACACCCGCACAGCAGCGCCCAGCGCCATCTAGTGACGAAATAAGGAAACACTGTTAGGCATTCAAGCGATGAATATTTCAGTCGCATTCTAGCCGCATCTCATCACCTGTTGCCGATATTAGCAACCTAGCTGTTAATGTGCAGTGCTTTGTATAATTTCGGGTGTTGTATACTTCGGTTCGAAATCTTAAGCAGGAACCAGGATAGAGAGATGAACTCTGGCCAATACAATGCTAATAGTGCTCACAGCCACAGGGCACAAAAATCGTTATAATAGCTAAAATAATAATTTTATAATTCTTTTTATATAGAGTTCTAATTATTTTGGTTCTGTGTCCTGTGCTGTTGTTGCCACCGTCCCTATGTCCCTATGTATATATGCCATCTATAGTGAATGCGAACCGGCACAAATCTAGTCGTCGTGGGTGGTAATTAGAATGTCTTCTTGTTTTTGCAGTACTTCTACTCAATTAAGGATATCTCGATCGGAGGCCAGTGTATATGTTCAGGTCACGCAGATGAATGCAGACATGATCCGGGAGAGCGGGTAAGTGATGCGCCACGTCACTGTATATATTTATACCTTTTTTCCGTCCTCGCTATATATATTTCCGATTCTCACTACAACTTTTTTTCAATAAATCACTAAAGCAAGCAGAAACGAAGAGGCTTCAGAATCCATTTAAAATTGGAAAATCGGGAAATTCCCGGTAAAGAATTAAGTTTTTTCGCACTGACACTAGCTTCTAGACTAGCTTCTAGACTAGCTTCTTCACTAGCTTTCTAGAAATGAGTCATGCATCATGCCAGGCAAAAAGTCGTGACGTGTGCTAAATACTCATCGTTTTTTCACGCTAACGTTAAAATGTCTGGCTATTTCATGCTTCACACCAAACCCGGCCTGCACGTTAGCACTCCGAAGTAATACCATATGTCGATCATTTACCAAGACGCCGCATCAGCGTTCATTCTAGTTAATTATAATGACTAGACCGAGGCAGGTTCAAAGGAAATATTGTGTGTCGAGAAATAACTAATTGATTTTTAATTAATCTGTCGTCACTAATTGTTATTAATTGCCCCCGTGTGATTGAGATGGTTTTGATGAAACGTACTTTTTGTCTCGTATTTCAGCAACAGAAATGCGAATGCCAGCACAACACGTGTGGTGACTCGTGCAACAAGTGCTGCCCTCTGTTTAACCAGTTTTCCTGGCGACCGGGAACAGCACACGAGGGTTTCGTCTGTGAGGGTTAGTGTAACTGCAGCCATCTACTCATGCAACTACATACATTTCAGTCTTTTCCACTATGAAGATGTCATTTCACAGTACTTGAAAATCTACAGTAAACTGCAACTTGAAGATGCATGAAAATCTAGTTCGATCAGCCCGGAACAACCCTGAACAATATATTGACAGCACTCTTAATTCAGTCAGAGACCCTATCCCTGTAACATTATCCCTAGCACTCGACTTTTTTCTAGCCTGATTCATTTATTACCGTATACACAGGTATAATATATTCATATGCACACACGCATGCACACGCATGCACGCGCATTTACACTTACTCGCATGCACCCACACACCCACGCGCACTCACACTTGCACGCATGCACGCACGCATGCGCTCGCCCACGCACCAATGCTCACTCACACTTGCACGCACACACACAGGCACGCACGCACACAGGCATATGTATTTGTGTAGTGTAAGTTTGCGTCGTCTTTCACAGAGTGCCAGTGCTTCGGTCACGCAGATAGATGTGTGTACAATAAGACTGTCGCCGTGCAGCAGCTTAGTCAGGACATCACTGGTGTGAAGCGTGGCGGAGGAGTCTGCATCAACTGTCAGGTGTCCGACTATAGCAGCATTCAGCTGCCTCACTTAATTCACTTGGAATGTGCAGTGACACTCTAGTAGCACATTCATTGACTCTGTTGCAATAGATCCATGTCAACATTACGGATTGAATCATGCACATTGCCGATGAACAGAATAAAATAGAAAATAAATGTGTAACTTAACCCCTATATTTGCATAACTTATCTGAACTTATCAGCAGATCTTTTTTATAACTATTTTTATAATTATCCAGTATGGGTGCCTAACAAATGCACAAGGATCACTGCAATGTTGCGTTACTTGATCTTCCTCCCGCAAAAAAATACCCCTCGAAATCATTCTTCCTCACTCTTTGTATTTGGACGGCTATGTGAGCAGCGCACTAACACACCGCGCTCCCTCTCACTCCTGCAGGACAACGCGGTCGGGTATAACTGTGAGTCGTGTTGCGAGGGATACTAACTAACTCTGTGGTGCCTCCCTCTCACTCCTGCAGGACAACACGGTCGGGTATAACTGTGAGTCGTGTCGCGAGGGATACTAACTAACTCTGTGGTGCCTCCCTCTCACTCCTGCAGGACAACACGGTCGGGTATAACTGTGAGTCGTGTCGTGAGGGATACTACCGGCCGGCCGGCGTGCCACACTCCACGCCTGACGTGTGCCAGCGCTGCGACTGCCGCGACCGAGAGACGGCGCCACCGGTCAGTGTGTGATGGACGAGGAGAGCGCGTCTGAGGGCATGGTAGGTCACTGCACCGCCCCGTGTGTCTGCGGGGGGCGGGGGGCGGGTAGCAGCAATTAATGGAAAACGGGAGGGGTCTGCATGCTGAGGAGAGCAGAAGGGGTTTGAAACTCACCACAGATTTGTTAAAATTGCATTGCATGCAAAATCGTACATAGACATATAACTATTATTATCATGTTATTGGTTATTATCATTACTATTATGTATTATTACTATTATTATTAAATTATTATATATTTTGTACATATTATAGTTTATATATAATGTCTTTATTATTGTGATATAATTCTATATTAGAAAATATTATAAGACATGTTACAGCGACTCGCGTGGTACGTTCCATGTCGCGATGATGCCACGTTGTTTTCGCCCGGTGTGTTTCAGCAACCAGGCAACTGCATCTGCAAGACAGGATTTGCTGGCCCCGCGTGCGACCGATGCGCCATCGGTTTCCGTGGTTACCCGTACTGCGAACCATGCCCCTGCGATCCCGCGGGAAGCCGCAACTACGAAACCTGCGACGGCGAGTGCGACTGCAAGGTAGGGGCTGCGTATCTACCTCCTGCTCTCTTGTTTTAGCGAAACATATGATGGGGTGGTTCTGGCGACCTGCAGTGCTCTCTTGTTTCAGCGGAACATGATGGGGTGGTGGTGGCGACCTTCATTGCTCTCTTGTTTCAGCAGAACATGATGGGGTGGTGGCTGTGACTTACGTTGCTCTCTTGTTTTAGCAGAACATGATGAGGTGGTGTCGGTGACTTATGTTGCTCTCTTGTTTTAGCCGAACACATTGGGGCAAGGCTGCGACAGTTGCAAGCCCGGCTATTTCAACCTGGCCATAGACAACCCGGACGGCTGCCAGCCCTGCTTCTGCTTCGGAGCGACAGACGAGTGCACCTCCGTCGGCTGGTCGCTGGAGAAGGTGGGATTCCCTCGCTGACAGCTAGAGGGCGGCACGCGGTCGTCGTCCACGTGCGATCATTGTTGCGGTCACGTCGCGTCACGTCGTCACATTCATTCCTTTAGTTTTTTCTCACCTGGTTATTGCAGTTATTATTCACCTCGTATGAATGCTGCGCAGTTCTAGCTATTCACATGGTTTTATGGATAAATAAAATAATAGAAAAAAATAAAATAAGGATAAAAGGTTGTAACGAATTGGGTTTCCATGAGAGCACGTCAATAAACTCTTGCTTGTTGGCATATTTTCTCAGCCTCTCACACCTGTTGACATATCAATGTGTGTGTGTATATCGTAAGTCGTTGGTTGTACAGATTGGTCTGCTGAGCGGCTGGTCAGTGACGGATCTGGAGGGCAGGAACCTCGTCATTCCAACGATAGAGAGTCGGGTGCTGAAGGTGGCAAGCTACGACACCTACCTACTGCAAGAGATGTTCTACTGGAGCGCCCCGCCCGACTACCTCGGCAACAAGGTGTGCACCTGCAGAGAAGGGCCGCGAGCAAATGCACCTGCTTAGAAGGGCAGCGAGCAGATGCACCTGCTTAGAGAGGGCCGCGAGCAGATGGACCTGCTTAGAAGGGCCGTGAGCAGATGTACCTGCTTAGAAGGGCCACGAGCAGGTGGACCTGCTTAGAAGGGCCGCGGGTGGATGTACCTGCTTAGAAGGGCCGCGAGCAGGTGGACCTGCTTAGAAGGGCTGCGAGCAGGTGGACCTGCTTAGAAGGGCCGCGAGCAGATGGACCTGCTTAGAAGGGCCACGAGCAGGTGGACCTGCTTGGAAGGGCCGCGAGCAGGTGCACCTGCTTAGAAGGGCCATGAGCAGATGGACCTGCTTAGAAGGGCCACGAGCAGATGGACCTGCTTAGAAGGGCCACGAGCAGATGCACCTGCTTAGAAGGGCCATGAGCAGATGGACCTGCTTAGAAGGGCCACGAGCAGGTGGACCTGCTTGGAAGGGCCGCGAGCAGGTGCACCTGCTTAGAAGGGCCATGAGCAGATGGACCTGCTTAGAAGGGCCACGAGCAGGTGGACCTGCTTGGAAGGGCCGCGAGCAGATGTACCTGCTTAGAAGGGCCGCGAGCAGGTGGACCTGCTTAGAAGGGCCGCGAGCAGATGCACCTGCTTAGAAGGGCCA